ACTTTTTGTGAACGATTAAAATTAATTGCAGACGGTTTTTAGGCCGCTTTTCAACCAACGTAATGACACTACTGCTTAAACAAATTCATTCTGAAACCAATATTTTTCTGTCAACCAAAGTGGTTTGATAGAGAGAAAAGAGAGGATTCATAAGTTATTTATCGGCTTAGGGTAGTGACCGACGTGTTTGCTTAAAAATGCTGCCCAGCCGGAAAAACAAGATATATTTATGAAAAATCGCAACGAAATTTGGGATGTACTAAACGATTCACGAAAGCGTTACCGTGGCCCATGGGCAGAGATAGGAAAATACTGACTGGGTAAAGAACCAATCAGATTACAGGATTCGTCACCGTGCCCTCTAAAAAAAATAAACTAGAATTATTTTGTCCATCGGTGATATCCTACGATTGAACTCGACCACTCTTACTAGTCTAGTCTGGAATGTTCGTATCTCTAAAAGGGTACTTTTCCTTTCCTTACTTATTGTGGCTGTGATTTCTCCACACTTTGATCTACCGTATCTCTTCACCTATAAGCCGAGACCACAAAAATGAGAGACCTTCCAACAGACTCGTGCTGTGCGAAAAAGAAAGCAGAACCATCGACTATAAGCCGAGAGCGAAATTCTACATTGTAACCAGCCATTTGAGTGAGCGGACCTCATGGAAAACAATGGGAAATGGCTCACTGAACACTGAACACAAAAGTTAATGAATCAAAATAAACACAAAAGAAATTTATGGTCATTTCGCATTAACATTAAATCTGCAATTGTACTTGTTTTTGAATCCCAAACCCTCGGCTATAAGCTCAACCCCGTTTACTGAAAAAATCGCTCGGCTTATAGGTGAAGAAATACGGAAAGCTCAATCAATTGGTTATAGGACTTTTACCTTATGACTCAGTTATAAGCTTCTGGTTATACTAATAAGTCAACTCTTAACCCCTAAGAGTGACCAACATCTTATTTCTCCATACAATATCACTCCTGAATCACACTTTAAAATCTATGTACTTGTAAAATGGTTTAACCCCTAAGAATGACCAGCAGCTAATTTCTCTGCACGATATCACCACCTGAATCAAACATTATGGTCATGAGAACGAAGGAAATGACCACCAACTACAGAGGCTCCTGATTATCAAACAAATTCTCCCTGTCAGCATCTTAGGAAATGTATGAAGAACAGTATGGAGGATAACCACACTGATGTCAGGGTGTAGAGAGTTGTGGCAGGGTTATAGTCCTCACTTTAGATCACCCTCACTCTAGCTTTAAGCTATAAAATTCCGCTTTCTACGGCAGTTGTTTCGTCGATAATGGGAGTTGGTTTTTTGAAAATGGGAGTTGGTCTTTCGCAAATGGGAGTTACTCTTTAGAGTTCTTTCTGAAAATAGTTTCACGTAGAAACTGAAAAAATTCAAGAGTAAAATCAACGGCGTCATAATTTTGAAACGGATAAATTTCATTTGTTGAAATACGTTCGGCAGCGAGGCATTATCTCAATAAAGAAAATCCTGGAGTTGTGAGAAAATCTATCCAGGAATTTTCGAGACCGTTCCCAAACACTGATCAACACAAGCAAAATAATAGCGATTGTCATGACACGCCCACAATCTCAAACTTCAAACCTCTGGTTAACTCGTGTGAAATTGGTTTAACCGCGAAGAAGGAAAGTTGGTTTTTAAGCGCTTTGAATATAGTCCTTAGGCGTCTCGAAAAAACTATTTCCAGCCACCTTAAATGCGAAAATTTCATTGGTAAAATTTTTACTCCGCATTTGATTGCATAATTTGTCGTATTTGCTTGAACGTTCCATCGACGACGTCGTCCAGCTCACGATCATCAAGGCAGGCAAAGCGCTGAAGTTCTTTGTTTTTTGTTTGTGTTTTTTTTTTCCCCTTGGGCTCTGACGTGAAGGGATAGCAAATCCTCAAATCAAAATTTGGCAAATTTTACCTCCATTTTTAGTATTTGTTATTTGTTCTTGAGCCTATTTTGCGGGCATTTCGGGAAAGCCTTGAGTTTTTAAAAATGTTTTCATATTAATACGTGACGCCACACCGTGTTCACATACTCTTATCCAAAATTGATCAATGTGAGTACGTACTATTTCAGCTCTTTCCGCAAACGGTATCGTGTCGCAGCAATGAAATCAACTGTAAATTTAGCGGCTTCATAATGTTGAAACGGCCAGATTCAATTTGTTAATATTTACTCAGCATTTCCCCTCTGCGAAGAAGACACGAAGAACAATATTTTAATTGGTCACTTTTCAAACTTGAAAGCACCAACATAACAAGAAATTGATAAATTCAAAAATATAAAAAGATCATTTGCTGTCTTAGCTAGAAAACAGCTTTTAAAGCTGTTAAATTATTTTTCATTGTCTAACGCGGAGGACAATGGTCATCTGGCCGTATTATGAACGTTTCGATTCCTCGGAGAAAGCACGATACGATAAGGTTCAACTAAAAGGTCGTTTAGGAAAGATAAAACGAAGTACGAAATTTTACAACTGTCGGTGGATTCTCGATATTCATGGTCAGTAGCTCTTAAGTATCAATAACACAGAAGTTAAGAAACGATCTTTGCAAGTAGGCTGCATTGAAAGTCATTGCAAAATAGAAGCTTGATAAGATTCGCACTTGTAAGGTGTTCAAAACCGTTCCTCCCAGACTAGCGCCAGTTAGGCGGGTACCAAGGAATTCACAATTAAACTCCCTTCAACCAATTGTATGGCTGTGTGGCTTCGTAGGTTAGTTGGTTCGAGTGAACTGGTGTCTAGGAGACAAGGGTCCAAATCCCGTCGAAAACTGAAATTTTTTCCAAGCTTCTTTCTGCACCTGCTTAAATTGCAGCCTCCGAAGATCGTTTTTTTTTCACTTTTAGCGTATTCTCATCCCTTATCTTGCAGAAAAATCAAATGACGGGGTACTCTGCATCAGTGCAAATCTCTGAAAAAACCGTACAATAGACCGAGTAGAGATGTGGCTAGGAAATGACCCGTGATTTCATTTTCGTACGGGAATACCTCCCACGTTTTCATTCTTGTATCAAGGACGGTTGGCAGTCAATCGGAAAAGCAGGCGATTTTAAAAACAAGTTGAAAAAAATGAAATTCGAACAGGCGAGTCGTGCCTTGGCCTAGGTGGGAAGGGAAGGTGAAGGAAGGTGTTCACAGACAATTCACATACTTGAGACTGTCTATTTGACGCCTCTCAAAATATAGTCAGAACATCCTCGGATCGAATTTGGGAAAAATTTGAGAGAAGCAGCACGTGTGTCTATTTCAGTTTTCAGTCTCAGTTTCCCATATCAGCCTCCAGAGTAGTCGAGAAAAAGATGACGTGGAAACAAACTATTTTCTCGTTGACAGCCGTAACTTTGCCAAAAATTAGAATTGTGCTTCATTCCATGAATAAACCACAGGCGGCCCAAGCTCCAGCTGTGAGATGATCATCTTGCGCAATAACAGTCATGGCGGAATTATAAGAGTTTGTGAGAGAATATTTACGACCGCTCTAAGGAATAAAAAATACGTCAAATTCTCAATAAAAATATATCTACTTACTTTCGCAGCGTATTGCTTGTTATCTGACCACTTAAAAGAACGCATTTTAGCGAGCTGTCCATTTCGTTTTCAACGTACATAGGCCATGTTGAAAACCTCGAAATGGACAACTCGCTAAAATGGGTTCTTTTCATCAAAGTAAGCGGTCAGATAACAAGTGATACGCTGTGAAAGTAGTGTGAGGTATTTTTATTGAGAATTTGACGTATTTTTTTTATTAATTAGAGCGGTTGTAAATATTCCCATACAAACTCCTATAATTCCGCCATGACTGTTATTGCGCAAGACGATCATCTCATAGCTGGAGCTTGGGCCGCCTGTGAATAAACCGTAAAATCTGAAGCAATGAGTAAACGGAAGTCCGCCACACTCTCATTTTTCAACTCGAGACATAAAACGATTTTCTTATAATCGGAAACAGTGAGAAAACAAACGGTAGCCGTAACAATGGATAATCTCAAGGAATTACTTGCGCCAAAAACATTTAACAAAGTTAGCCATGCCGCAGTTGTTATTTGGATCCTGATCGGTATAATCTTTCTTGGCATTTTTGCAGACGCAGAAAACGGTGAATCCAGGTATGATTTCCGCTGTGGCGGGGCGAAGAGTGAAAAGATCGACCTTGTGCGTGGAAAATGTTTCGAGTTATATGAGAAAAAGTATAACAAACACGCTCTTCCTACCTATGGCTTCGTAACCATGAACTTTTTCCTCATTGGAACTGTTTGTGTTATTTACTCCAAGATAGTGAGCCCAACAGTCGATCAACTGTCGCCAAGCGCTCATAACGGTGATCTTGAGAGACAGTCGCCCGACCAAGAGAGAGCTGGAAAAAAGCTCTTTATTGCTTACTGCTGTCAACTTTTCACAAGGATTGTTTTAGGAGTTCTCTTTATGGTCCTACAAACTCAGATTCTTTATCCTCTGGACTTTCCCTCCAGCTTTTCTTGTTATCTAACCTCCGAAGGGAATTCTACCGGCGTCATACAAAACTCCAAAACCTTACACGAGTGTCATAATCAACGAGCAACTAAGAAAAACTCTTGGATGTGCGCTGTTCTTGTCGTGAACGGAATTTTTCTCTCTAGCATTCTGATGGAAACCGTCTATATTTTCCTACGTGCGTGGAGAGAGGATACTTTCATGAAAAATTCAAGCTTTCTAGAAGCTCACTTGAACATTCCACATCTGCTAAGCAAGCCTGAACAATTCCAAGAAACACTGCTTCAGGAATTCATCGCGAATACAAAGAAAGTTATTAAAGAAGAGACAAATAAACCTCCCCAACTCCGGTCGCCTTTTTCAAGTACTCCTGGCGAAGGACGCTCAGCTAAACATTTGACTCTGGATCAGATTTACACAAAACTTGTCGTTGTTCCAGACAGAGCCGAATATGACTTTTCTGGAGTCAGAAGGGAGAAACTGGAAGTCTACACCAGATCGGATGAGAAAAACATAACACCTAGAGGGCCGGAAGACATTATTAACCACGAAAACAAAAACGTTTTGATTGTTGGTCGTCCTGGGATAGGAAAGACACTTTGCTGTACCAAACTTCTCAGAGACTGGGCATTTAACAGAGTATTCCATAAATCATCTGATGCTAAAATCCATTTTGATGCTACTTTTTTTATCAAATTCAGGGCATTCAACGCGGCAACCGATCTCAGCCTCCGGGAACTGCTCACATTGTCAGAACATTCCTCCTCAAATCACATGGATGATGAAGTCTGGAATTACATCCTTGACAACCCCCAAAGAGTTCTCTTTGTTTTCGATGGAATCGATGAATTTAAACATTATTCAAAGATCGGCGAGGAAAATTTCGAGCCTCAATTCAGAAACCGCGCAGACGAAAAGATGCCCCTGTATGCACTATACGAGAAGCTTGCGACTGGAAAACTTCTCATCGGAGCTGCCGTTTTGACAACCACAAGACCTACGGCTTTGTCATGCATCGAGCGTGTTGATTTCGACAAAGTCTTCGAGATCCTCGGCTTCTCATCCGAACAAGTCGAAGAGTACGTAACCAAATTTGTTGAGGAGGACAAGCATGCAGGCGAAACAATATGGCGACACATCGGCGGCAACATAAACATTCTCTCTCTATGCTCCATTCCTGCGAGTTGCTTCATCATTTGCTCAAGTCTCTTTCAAATGGTGAGGTTCTATGGTTCTAAAAGTCTTAGCCTACCAACGAAATTAACAGATATTTACAAGAAAGCCGTGAAAATCTTTTACTTAAGACACAACGAAGAATTCCGCGGCAAGAATTTCACTCGCGAAGAATTTGAATCAGACCAGTTGCCCCCTGAAGTGGAAAAGAAATTCGAGAAACTGGAAAAAATGGCATTTGAAGGAATTAAAGAAGGAAAGCTGGTCTTTGGAGGAAACGAAGTACGCGGAATGGAAGAAAGCGCTCTCTTTCACCGCTTACTCGACCGTGAAACTGCCCCTCTAAAACGTGAACGACAATTCTGTTTCATTCATTTAACAATGCAAGAGTTTTTCGCTGCGAGGCACCTGGCAAACATGAATGAAACAGAACTGAGGAACTTTGTTTCAATGAACATCGAGGACGGCAAATGGCAGCTGGTTTTTCAGTTTCTAGCAGGACTAATGAACGAGAAAGAAAAACTACCGAGCGAAATCATCACAGACCTTCTTCCTGTGGAAACTGAAGAGAAAGAAAGCAAGTTCTACTACGAAGAGTGGACATGGGATATGGAGCCAAGGAAAGTAACTTGTTGGCCGACTAGAGACAAAAAACATTTAGCAGTGACATTATTTAAATGCATTAACGAAAGTAGTGAGATGGAGGAATTAGTTCAGAGAAAACTTCAACAAATTAACTTTAATTTTGTAGATCTTTATTCATGTCAACTCACACCTGACGATTGTGCTTCAGTAGTTACTGTAATTAAGAATGTTCAACAAATTTCACATTTAGATTTGGGGGGCAATAACATTGGTCCGTTAGGTTGTTTTGAGATTTGCAAGTTGTTAAAATGTAGTAATTCTCAACTGAGCTGGTTACGCCTCGGAGGAAATCAATTGACAGATGAAGCAGCAAAGTATTTAGCTGAAGCCATCAACAACAACAACTGTCAGCTACGCTGGTTACACCTCTGGAAAAATTGCATCTCAGACGTTGGAGCACAGCACTTGGCTAAAGCCATCAACAACAACAACTGTCAGCTACGCACGTTAAACCTCTCATACAACAACATCTCAGACATTGGAGCGCAGCACTTGGCTGAAGCCATCAACAACAACAACAACTGTCAGCTACGCAGGTTTTACCTCACAGCAAATAACATCTCAGACATCGGAGCACAGCACTTGGCTGAAGCCATCAACAACAACAACTGTCACCTACGTGCGTTAAACCTCACAGAAAATAACATCTCAGACATTGGAGCACAGCACTTGGCTG